ACAGGCATGACTATTGCTTGCTCTCTTTTGCTCTGAAATTAGCTTACTACTTGACATGCAGCAGGTGTCCAACACATAATACTTAATGACTGTGTACATCAACAAATGAAAGTTTGAGGACAACATCTAAAAATATTCTTGATTTAAGAAAGTTTAAAGACAACCAGGTTATTTGATTATTTTTAATGAGTATACATTTTGTAGTAAGAACCATACATATAACTTCGCAGTAATTTAAAAATAAAAACATGCAGCCATCTAAGAACTATGTACACGCAATATATATGTATATATGTATACATATATATGTATGTATACATAATATGTATATATATGTATGTTATATGTTTTCATCATGAATCATGTAAACCTTAGCTTTATGGTCAAGAGAATATGTCTGTTGTAATCTGACTTGTAATCTCTCTCTTTTCTCTGCTCTCTTCACATTTTATTCTGCCTTGTCATTTCCTTCTGTTTCAAGATGGGCTTGCCTTTCTCCTTACTCTTAATTTTATTATTTCTTGTTCTGCTTCTCCTTCCATTGCTTGAATTTCTCATTATCCTACCTCTTCTCTAAATTCCTTTTCTAAGGTATGACTCATTTTTTTTAACTCACAAAGTAGTGCAGTTGTGTGTGCAGAATAAAACAAAATAGAAAAATGAAAAAGAAAGATAAAATGTAAATATGTTGAAAGGCAGCATGTGGCATCAAGACTTTGGAAAATTTAGAAATTTTTCCACTTATCTTGGGGTAACCTTACCTGCAAACTTTCCCTCTGGGGTTTTAAGAGAAGAACAAGCTGGAAGGTGAATAAGGAATAAAGAGCTTCATGTTATTGATGGGGTGGGCCCATGTATAAGGTAATAGAATCTAATCAACTTACATCTCTTTATCAATAGATTTTGATCATTTTTATTTCATAAAATCTATCAGTAGACTGATGAAAATGAAATTTTTTAGAAAATTTGGATGTACAAATAAAAAATTTAATATTGGTAAATCTGGTAGGAACACATCAATAGAACCCAGTCCAATTGAAGTCCTGAAATGATCACTCTTCTATGATCTACTTATTTTATATCTATCTATTTATCTGTCTGTCTATAATCTATCTGTTCGCCTTAATTTGATTTATATTACTATGATAAAACACCACGATCAAAAGCAATGTAGGTAGGACAGGGTTTATTTCAGCTTACAATTGTAGTCAGTCATAAGGAAAGTCAGGGTAGAAACTTAGAACAAGAATACAAAGGTGGGAACTGAAGCAGACACCATAGAGGAACACTGCTTACCAGCTTGCTCCCTAGGTTCTCACTGAGATTGCTTCCTTCTATTATTTAGAACCAACTGCATTAAGTTAGCACCACTTTCACATCAATCATTAATCAAGACAATCTCATACAGGTTTACAGATTTGCTCACTATCCAATCATTGGGTGTATTTTTTAAAATTGACATTTCCTCTTACCCAAATGACTCTAGCTTGTGTCAAGCTGACAAAATAAAACCTATGAGGACTCTATCTAATCTATCTTTCTGTCTGCCTATCTATCCATTTGTCTTAGTTAAAGTTGCTATTGCTGTGAAGAGATACCATGACCATGACAACTCATATAAAAGAAAACTTTTCATTGGTTTGGCTTACATTTTCAGAGTTTCAGTCCATTATCATCATCATGAGACTTGATGGTATGCAGGCATACATGGTGTTGTGGATGAGCTGAGATTCCTACATCTTGATTTATAGGCATCAAGAAATTGTCTGTTACACTGAGAGTAGCTTGAGCATAGGAGACCTCAAAACTCACCCCCACAGTGACTTCATTCTAGTTAGAGAGAATATATGAAAACCATATTTTGGAAAGGAGCCATGCCATTAAGAATTTTTCCTACTTCCATTCTTTTGTTTGTTTGTTTGTTTCTGTCCTACCTGGAAACATTCTAACTGCTGAATACTAGGCTCAAGATGTTTTCCTTTTTGAGGAGTATAATCATAAATCAAACAATAGACGCAGACTATCCATACGTAACTCACAAAACACATTCTTTCACTTCAAAAGCCATATAAATCAAAGATAACAGGTGTTACTAAGCTCTTGTTCCATCTGGCCATTCCCTTTTTGCGAACTACAGAGAGCTTCTTATGAAGACAACCCATCTGTAAACTGTCAAGATCCCGAGAGTATAATGAAGGGATTTTTAGAAATTGGACTAGCAGCTCATAGGCTATTATATCACAGTAGAAGTTACTGTTTTCAAACTTTAGTTAAATACAATATACAGAATATTTTCTGTAGGATAATTAAAAGAGTGAAAACAAATGAGTTTTGAATAATGGAAACAGATTTTCAGTACTGCTGTATGCATTCTATTCCTTTTGGCACAATCACCATTTCTTTCATACCTGACACGTTCCTACATTTAACTGGATCACAAAGTATAAAACGAATTGACATCAATTCATTGAGATTGGTGAGTTAAGATCAGGGTCAAAATTAATAAAATAGAAACAAGCTAATGTCCAAGAAAGCCAATGAAATGAAGAGTGGTTCATTGAAAAGATAAACAATACACGTCTTTAGTCCCAGCACTCACATGACAGGCAGGTGGATCTCTATGAGTTCAAGGCCAGCCTGGTCTACAGAGTGAGTTCCAGGATATCCAGAGTTGCACAGAGAAACCCTGTTTTGAGAAACAAAACAACAATAAAAAGATAAACAATACTGCTAAAGTTTAGCCAAATTAGTGAAGAGAAAGGAGCCAGAAATTAATAAAATTGGAGGTTGTAGTTGTTTTTTTTTTTTTTTTAACTCTTTTACTCTTTATAGTGTTTGTAGGCCCACTTCCCAGCTTCCAAATAAACACATGGAAACGTATTCATACCTATTTAGGCCCGGCCTTAGCTTGACTTATTTCTAGTCAGCCTTTCTTAAATTATCCCATCTATCTTTTGCCTTTGGGATTTTACCTTTCTTTATTTCTGCATATCTTTTCTTTCCTTCTTACTGTGTAGCTGGATGGCTGACCCCTGGGGTCCTTCTCCTTCTTTCACTCCTGGATCTCTTACTCCCAGATTTCTCCTCCTATTTATTTTCTTGGACTGCTAGACCTGCCTATCCTGTCTCCTGCCTTGCTAACGATGGTTCAGTTCTTTACTAGATCATTCAGGCAAAGAAACACAACTTTATCGGATTAAATAAATGCAACATAAAATAATGCAACACATCTTTGCATCCTTAAACAAATGTTCCACAGCATAAAAACATGTAACACATCTTAAAATAATATTCTAAAATGGGAAGGAAAGGGGGACATTGCAATAAATATCAATGAAATTATCTCTTTATGTTGGGAAATCCAGAAGAAATGGATGAATTTCATCCATTCCAGAAGAATATATATATCCAATTCACATATATATAATCCATATATATATATATATATACATATATAGCCTGATAAACGTAAACTGAGATGTGACAAAGGAATTTAAACAGATTTGCAGCAAGCAGTGAAGTTAAATAAGTAATTTGAAAAACAAAACAAAAATAACCCTCCCAACTAAAAAAGTCAAAGCGCAGATGAAATCACATTTAAAATATGACCCATTTAAAAAACCCACAGATTTCTCAGACCATTATGTAAAACAGATAAAAGGAATGTTTTCACACTTTCTTTTATCCTAATAACTAAACCAGATACACACGCACGCACGCGCGCACACATACACACACACAAATTACAGACTGATCTCCTTGAAGAACATAGACGCGAAAATACTCATTCAATATTTTCAAACTCAATTCAAGAACATATTCAAAAGATCATTCATCACTGTCAAGTTGTTTTTATCCCAGATATAAAAGAATTGCTCCTCAAAAACAAATCTATAAATGTAAAACGCAACACAAATGAACTCACAGACAGAAATTTCATAACTGCCTGAACAGATGAAGGAAAAAAGTCTTTGTCATAATCCAACAGCCCTCCAGAAGAGATGAGGAGAGGAAGGAATGTAGCTGATGTAATAAAAGCTATATACAAGCATCAAACAAAATCACTGATTCTCAATCTTACTAATGCTAGGACCCTTTAATATAGTCCTTTGTGATATTGTGATCCCCCAACCATAAAGTTATTGCATTGCTATTTCATAACTGTTATTTTGTTACTGTTGTGAATCGTGATATAAATATCAGATATGCAGGCTATCTGAAATGTGGCCTCCAAAGCAGTTAAAACCCACAGGGTGAGAACCACTGCTCTAAGCAATGAAGGTAAAATCCTTCTGCATCTGCCTTCTGAACAACCGTGGTTACAGACCCACACCACTAGGCCTAGCTTGGTTTGAATCTTTAAAGGTAGACCTTAAAATTGTAATATGTACCTTGTAACTTTATATAATTCTATGAGAAATTCATACATTCTAAACCCTCCAAGAATGCAATTATGTAAGAGGACTATTTTTGAATACTGGGTTATATAATGCCTCTGAAATCTATAAATGTTTTTGGCAACGAAGAAAGAGAAATGGGATGTTTGTTTGTTTTACATTTCAGTTTTGGGTGGTTTGTTTTTATTTTTAGAACTAAAGTGGCTACTGTTAGGTAAAGTTAATTTTACTATTTTGCTTGCGGGGAAAGTCAGCTTCAATAGCTATTCTGACTGTCCATGGTCATACCACCAAGGATACAGGCACAGGTGCTCTGGTCTAGAACTCAGGACCACTCTGCTCTCCCTCAAAGGGAAGAGATGGAAGATCTGGACAACAAAGGAAGAAGTGGTGTCATTGTATTCTAGTGTTTTGTTTTGCTTAAGAAAACACAAGCAAAAAACCCAAGTCCACACCTCAATTCTAATCATACCTCCCCGACTGGAAAAGTGCAACCTCTGAATCATCACTGGTTGTGCGCACCCGGGCCCTCTACTGCTTGGAGCTTCTCTGTGCAGGCATTGACAATTACTTCATTGTGTGGCAATGGCTGGCACCAAATAGACCGTGCTCCTATCAGGCTACATGAAGCCAGCAAACCTCAGTCAGTAAACCTGTTGGGCTTGTTTCCTTTCTTGTCCCCAGTGACTGTCATTATTTTCCAGCCTCCCAGCCCTGACCTGGCTGATAGAGATCAGATGGTGACTGGATAGAAGAAGCCTTCCCAGTCTTGGGTCCATGATGTACGCGTAAGTACTCAGCTTTTCTCAGTGAGCTGACAATGGGGACAGATATTTACATCACCTGGGACAGGCTATGCAGATTCTGACTGGTAGAAGTTATTTTAACTCTATGAGATTATATTTTGTGTTGAAGTTTTGTCTCATTGGTTTTTGAATGAAACAGAAGGGACCAATGTGATGTTTTCTTTCTAAATAGAAATTAAATCCAATATATTAACAGTATTATATTTTAACATTCAGAAAAAGCTATGCTGTGGTGAGTAAAATATTAAACACAGTTTATTTGATTTCTTACTATGCTCAACATGATATGTTTTTAATAGTATAGTCTTTAATGAAGTATATTATAGGACAACAAAATACAAATTGAATAAGGAAGAATATTAATTTTTTTATTTGTTTAATTCCAAGAAAAAGGATGACTACAACTAATATATATATGAATATATATCATTTATATCACATAAATAAAATGGTTAAATTAAAATCCTTATGTGTAAACAATTAATGAGTTAGCAAAAACTTGAACTTCAAAGTAAATAATCACTTACTTGATTTTTTATTAAAATTATTAATTTTATACAGCAATGTTTGTGTTATTGATTTAAACTGAAAGGATAATTCATATGGGATCAATGATTTCTTTCAAACTCCTATTTAGCCCAAATTTGCTATTTTATCTCTCAAATAGGCGCTTGGTGTCTCTCTCTATAAATTTCCCATGTTTCCTTTGATCAATGTGTTAAACATAATTCTGATTTTGTGATTCTTGTGATTGTTTAGTTTTGAGCTTGTCTTCAATGAAACATAATACATTAAGCATATGAACTATCATATTCTTAAATAAGTATTTTTTACATTCCTTAACTTACCAATACCAGCATGAGCCTGAGGAAGACAGTCCATTTCATGCATAAGGTTGACCTAGACAGATCCTGTCCTAATAATATAACCCACCACAATACCCATACTTTTAAGTATAAGAAAGTATATTACTTAGCAAAATAAAATGTACAGAAGTGAATATGATATGTTAACAATTTCAATTTAAAAAGGCATATCAAAGGACCTGAAGTCTTCATCCACCTTTATCTCAGAATTCAATGGCATGCCTCTCTAAAATCCTGACTCTCTTTCCCTCTCAATTTATGGCATCATCTATATCTACTTCCCAACTCTGTTCTATTATTATAGTCTTTTTCTACTCGGGATTTTTTTTATTATACCTTTTATTAATATCTTCTTCTTCTCTGACCATTTTATTATATTATGTTACATTAACGCTTCCTCAAATTTGATTCAGAATGAATAGTTCTGAGTATTGGTGTTTAGACAAGAGTTGCCTTTTCTTTTTATTTATTCTTCTCTCATACAATACATGCCGACCGAAGCCTCAACTCCCTCCACTCCTCTCAGTTCCTACCCCAACTCCCTTCTCCCCAATATCCACTGCTCTTTCACGTCCCTGCAGACAAGAGCAGCCCTCCCAAGGTTATCAACTGAAGTTGGAATAACAAGATGCAGTACGACTAGACACAAATCTGTCTGTGCTTAGCCAGGCTGTCATTAGAGAGTCTTCCTCAGGCAGCTGTGAGAGCAAATACAGAGACCCACAAAGAAACATTAGGCAGAGCTTGTGGAACCTGACAGAAGATGGGAAGGAACTGTGGCTGAAAAGCATTTTTAGCGCAGATATCCTACCCCATACTGTGAATAAATCATGAAGACAGTATGAGGCTAGTTAGTGGATTCAATAAATTCATTAGCAAAGGTACTTTGACCAAGGGATCTCATTTCAGATAGTAAATAAGTGAGAAAGCCATGCTTCTTAGAAAAGTCCCTGGCTCATATATTGAAGAGAAGAAGGAAAGGAATTATTTATTTGCATATGTTTTAGAGCCAGGTTTCCACTCAACTTTCTGGGAAAATCCTTTATCACTCAAGACTTCACGTTAAACATAAAAGTTAGGAGGGGGTGATAATAAAACAGAAGGGCTGAGAGGGCATAACCATCAACAGAATTTGTGATTATCTTTAAAAATGAATACAAAGCTATTTTGGGAGTTCGTTACTGGTTTAATTTTGACATTATTAGTTTTACTTAAATAATAATGAGGTACTATTTCATATAGTCTGCATTTTAAGTAGTAAGCTTTTCACTGTGGACATGTTTACGGTGTGTGAGTTTTTGACGGACAGCATTTTATGTTTTTATTTTCTGGGTCTTGGTCAAAAGTATTTCTAAATCAATAAGTCAAACAATCCTAAATTCCATATAAATAATTTTATTCTGTAATATCAAAGAGCTAACAGCTAGTTAGCATTGAGAACAGTAACTTCCTTAAAGTATAAGTGATATTTTAAATCATCCCAGAGTATAGCTGTCTATTTTTGTTTCATTTCATCAGTCACTTCATGTGGTACCCCCTACAAGTGAGGCAGTGACAGGAGCTACTGTTACCAGAAAGTAGAAAGTGGTGCCGAGAGACAACTTAATAAACTGTACCTGGATGGTTAGATGTGATATATGTAAAAATAAGAAGCATACAGAGGTTGTAATGAATCTGTCTGCCCAATCTCTTTAAAGGATCTCTAAATATGTAGGAAATGATGGTTGTTTATAAAAAAAACATGTAGAAATTAGTTGGAGGGAAATAAGCGTATATTCTGGACTAAGTCAGTCATTCAAAGGCGTGAGACTTTAAACACATTTCCCAGGAGACCCTGGGAATTATCTAGTTAAATTAAGATCATTGGTCTAGGAAGGGTCTTTTTTTAAAAATTTATTTATTTATTAAAGATTTCTGCCTACTACCCGCCACCGCCTCCCATTTCCCTCCCCCTCCCCCAATTAGGTCCCCCTCCCTCATCAGACCAGGTTAGGGAGGGTCTTTGTTTCAGATTAAATATCTCTAAAGTTCATTATGAAAGTCTGATAAAAATGTGAGGAAGGAATGAAGAAATTTGCTCTTTAGAGCTCTACGGGAACCTGCTCACCTAGTGACTCTATTGTTAGTCGGCTGCAGCAGCAAAACTTGATAAGCGGAGAGGTGGGGTTCCACCTGCTCAGGCATCATTTCCTCACCTATAAGGAATGCACCTTCCCACATTTAGTGACACCCCCACGGTCCTCCTTCATGATACAAATGAAATTTGCTGGGATATTGCTTTCCTTTAAGCTGCTAAAATTGTCATTTCTGAAGCCCAGCCATTCACCGCAGACATACTGAGCATCTGCCAATCGATATGTATCTCTCTATGTATTTAATTGCCCCCAATCATATCTCTCCAGGTAAACAGGATGTTTTCTGCATTCCCAGTGCTAAGTATATTTCCTGTCTCATTGCAGACCCTCAATATTTGTATGGTATTCATGACTACATGTACTAAAGCTAAAGAACGATTAAAGTAGGAAAGGTTAAGGGTAAATGAAACATGCCGGTTTCTGATTCATAACTGATTAACAATGCAAATGAAATATTCATAACAAAGCAATTCTGAAGATATATAAAAAGCTTAAAAATAGAGATATTTTATTCTATGTAAACCTGTGTTGTTCTGCTGATGGAAACTTATCATTGAAGAGAAGACGGCATCAGATAAATGTTGATTAACTAGATTTTGATTTCATTCATAATTCAACAAATATAGATTATAGTATACTAGTAATACAATATATACACATTATATGGATACCTAAATTCTCTACACATATATGCTGTGTGTATCCATCATATGTGCACACATATAAATACAAAATCAAAATAAAGAATAAATATGCATATATATACTTTGTAGAAAATATGTTTTCTGGTATTTCAATTCTAAGAAAGAAATACGATAACAACCAAACTAAAGTGAGTTATGAACATCATACCTGTGAGATGAAGGTTGCATACCTTTTCCCATGAAAAATTTCCAATTCACTTTATTTATTTACCTTCTAAAATCAACTTTCGGGTTATATGTTAATAGTCTATGAGAGTGGTTCTCAACCTTTTTAACGTTGCAACCCTTTAAATAGTTTCTCAAGTTGAGGTGACCCCCTCCCCAATTATTTTCATTGTTACTTCATAACAGTGATTTGCTATTGTTATAAATCACAGTGTAAATATCTAATATATGCTATGGTCTTAGGTGACCCTTGTGAAAGGATCATGTGACCTTGAAAGGGGTCAAGACCCACAGGTTGAGAACCACTGTTCTATCTTGTATTTTTCATTTATTTTGCCAACTAATCAAGATCAAAGTTTTGAAATGTTGTTCAAAAACGTTACATATTGCTGTCATCTATTACTTTGCCCACATGAGAGTTGGAAAGATCTAAAAAGCATTTTTTAGTGGTATTCAAGAAATGGAGACAAAGAATGTAGAAACAGGATCTGGGTTGGGAAGAACTGTTTCTTGAAACAGTCACTTTTATATCGTCTCAATTGTGTGCATGATAAAAAAAAAATCTTCCTTGAAAAATTCCTGTCATTGAGCATGTTTAAAATGTAGAGCCTTTTTATTTTTACAGAGTTTAAGTGTTATAATTGATTGCTCATTTTTTTCTGGCTCATCTTTTTATTCTTTTTATTTATTTATTTTTTTATTAAAAATTTCCGCCTTCTCCCCGCCTCCCATTTCCTTCCCCCTCCCCCTACTCCCCTCCTCCTCCATCTCCAGTCCAAAGAGCAGTCAGGGTTCCCTGCCCTGTGGGAAGTCCAAGGTCCTCCCTCCTCCATCCAGGTCTAGAAAGGTGGGCATCCAAACAGGCTAGGCTCCCACAAAGCCAGAACATGAAGTAGGATCAAAACCCAGTGCCATTGTCCTTGGCTTCTCAGCAGCCCTCATTGTCCGCCACGTTCAGAGAGTCCGGTTTTATCCCATGCTTTTTTAGTCCCAGTCCAGCTGGCCTTGGTGAGCTCCCATTATATCAGCCCCACCATCTCAGTGGGTGAGCACACCCCTCGCGGTCCTGACTTCCTTGCTCATGTTCTCCTTCCTTATTGCTCAAATTTTGA